CTATTCCCCACTGCATTCGGGTCCACTTCATACCAAAGTAGCCGTGCTGCTGCAGTAGGATTGTCATGAATGAGAGGCAACAGAAGTGGATCGAAGCCATCACGATTTCGATCGTTAACCGACTCATGATGAGAAAGAAGAGGTGAGACCTTGTGCACCTGTTCTGCAATAATGACCAATTCCAAAGGTGATGAATCAAAAACATTCCAACGATTTATTCTAGCACCACAATCAAACAAGAGTATTGCTGATTCGATGCGGCCTTTATCAATGGCCATGCAGGGTGCAAAAAATGTCCACTCAAGGTATGTTAGATTTATTTGATAACTGTTTGAATTTGCCGTTATCTTAATTACTGCAATTAACGTGCTCTGAGCAATGTGTCTCTTTCTCCCTAGTTTAGCTGTGACTCAACTAATTCATGAAGTCAGGCCAGGTAAAGGAGACAGACCCATAGAGATATCTGAGTCGGTCAAGGCTTTACTAGGGTAGCAATCCGCTACATATTTGAGTTTGAAAAAGTACTTGGTTTACCTTATAGTCGATTAACTTTCGAATTCAAAATGTTTGCAGGAAATTGTATTTTTGTCAAAGCCTTTTACGGTCAATGTAGTTTTGAGATTCAAAGTGTTAACTTTGAATATGATGTACATAAGCAGGTCTGTAATATAAATATATATGGGAATTATTACAGATATAAATAAAGAATCTTTTTCTCGTGTTAAATTGTGGCGTTTCAGCTAACTCCCCACTGCCAACTTTTTGTAGTGGAGGCTGCACAAATAAGCCTTGATTAGACCTTGACAAAATTCTCTAATTTGAAATTTTCCATGCTACCTCAACAGCATCGAGTATGAAGTGAAAAATGCTCATTGCAATTTGTGGGCCACTTCAACTTATAATCGTTTAGTTTTGCTTATTTTGCATCATATTAGTCTGACTCAGTAGGATAAAAGACTAATGTTACTTGGGATTATTTCTATTTGATGTGTCATTGATTGGATAAGTCTTCCTTAATTTCACCTTTACACTAAGTTGCAAACTGGCTTCTGAAAAATTTTATGCAATATCCTCCCAAAGTTCTCTGTTATTATCAATATTAGAAAAGTTTATCTATATAGTTCTGAAAAATATTTCTTTGTACTCATTAGCTTTATATGAATCAAGGAACTAGTGAAATGATTGGTGAGCACTAACAATTGCTGGAGCATTATCGCTTTATAATTTGCTATGAATAAGGAATGAAGAACGATGAATTTACAGGCTTTATTCCCACCTTTACTGAAACGACGATAATTCGTTTCACTCACACAGTTATTTTGGCACTATACCGACTTTTTCCAAAACACAAAAAGAACATGTCATAGGCTTTCTGTCCTACTTTTCCTTCAAATTTAAATATATATATATTTTGCAAATTAGTTTGCACTCTTCTCTCCTTCCAAATAATTTACATCATTTTTTTGTTTCAAATCTGGTGAATCTGATCCCCAAGATGTTCACGCCGTTGGGTCTAAGTATTTCTTTACAACTAGGCATCCTCTTTAGGGCGCACTGTGGGCAGTTGCCGTTCCAGAATTAAAGCCTAGAGGCCTTTTTAATGAGGATAACAGTGCAATTAAAATAATTAAGATTGAGAATGTAAAAAAGAAAAATGAATACCGACATATTTAGCATGAGTTAGAGTAGAATAAACAACTTAAAAAATTGTATAAAATAGGATCTTTAATGAAAGCGGCATGGGAGTTTTCAGAACAAAATAACTACGTAATTGGGTATATTCGCAAACTAACGATTTTTTGCGTTCGTTTATTTCGCGTGTAACTAACTATCGCTGTGCATAACTGCATATTATTCGTTTTTTATACCAATTAAGGCCCTCTATATGCCGATGGTCTGAGTTCTTAATAAGTTGGACCTTTGGTCCTGTGGGGCACGTTATCGATGTGTGCGTCATCGTATACCTGCAAGTCTGTTCGCCTTGTGGGACACGTCATCGCATGCCTGCACGCCAGGACTGGGAGATGCCAGGATTGGGAGGTGCGGCCGTACAACTTTGTGTGCAGTTCGCCAGGATTGGGAGGTGCGCCGTATAACTCTGTGTGCAGCGATCGTACAAACAGTGACCAATCATTAACCTCTGTTTAACCTAATCCCCCATGAGTAGCTCCCTGCGCGTACACTTTATCCGTAATATACGCCCTGAATAAACGTGTTCCGTGTACTTGATCCGCAAGATACGTCCTGAATAAACGTGCTCCGTGCACACTTTTCTGATCATTACGTGACTGAATATACGTGTTCCGAATTATCGTCTGTTTCCTTTATAGCTGGGCTATAGCTTAGCTAGTTTCGGTCTGTTTCCTTTATAGCTGGGCTATAGCTTAGCTGGTTCGATAGCTTAGCTTGTTCTGGGAGTCTAGCTAGATGTTGGAGAATTCTCCGTGCTACTCGTCTGTTTCCTTTATAGCTGGGCTATGGTTTAGCTGGTTCTGGGAGTCTAGCTAGATGTAGGAGAATCTCCCTGGTTCTGGGAGTCTAGCTAGACGTTGGAGAATCTGCCGTTCTGGGAGTCTAGCTAGATGTAGGAGAATCTGCCACAGATATAAACGCGCTCCGTGCTACACGTCTGTTTTCTTTATAGCTGAGCTATAGCTTAGCTGTTCTCTAGCTAGAGGTTGGAGAATCTGCCATAGAGATTTCTGATTCCTAGCTAGATGTTGGAGAATCTGCCATAGAAATTTCTGAGCCGGTAGCTAGATGTTTGAGAATCTGCCATGGAGATTTCTGAGTCGGTCTAGATGTAGGAGAATCTGCCAAAGAGATTTCTGAGTCAGGAGCATCTGCCATAGAGATTTCTGAGTTAGTCAGGCTTTAATAAAGTAGCAATCCACTACAGTCCCTACCTCTAAAGAAGATGGGCTTTAAATGCAATTCGATTGTCAATAGTGATACTCATTTTTAACAAGAACCTTTTAAAATATTGAGTTATTTTGATAAGTATTCAATATTTGTTGCATTTGCACAATAATTCGACTTTAGAAGAAAATTTATTAAATGCAACATTATTTATATACTTTATTTTCCATAATTGCCTTAACGCAATAATTGATGCATTTTGGTACATTATTTTTCTCCAAATCACACGAATTTGAATTGTTTCTCATCCCTAGGAAAGAACCCATTGTCGTTTTGGTGGAAGACCTGGTTGCAAAAGCGATTGAACTTAAATAGTTCGTTCAGTACCAATTGTTTCAATTTTACAGCATGAAAACTATTGAATATATCTTATTTCAATCGAATTGGCCCGTTTATTCCATCGAAAGTTAATCTCACTATTTAGTTTCCAGTGGATTTAAGCAATAAATAAATAGTTGTGAGTAGAATTTTGTGAGTTTAAAATGTCAGCCTGTCATGCCACGTTTTGTTGCCAATCGTCCACTTACGACGACTTGTCAAATGACTAAAGAGACGGACTGAACGTATAAATATGACATTTTTGCATGTTAGACAATAAATTCAAGTGCAATTTCGTGCATTAATTGCACTTACCACAAATACGCTTTAATGGAACGCATAACTGCACATTTTGTAGAATGTAGCATTTTAAGTCCAATGAAATCTAACATGGGCACAAAAATGGATCTTTAAGGGGAGAAGGGAGGTCAGAAGCATGACTATTGACTGCATGAAGATGGGTTATCTCTCACTGGATACCCATTAGACACCATTAAGCATTTCAATGGGCAAAACGTAGGCTATCGGGACTTCTTTCTCATGATGAATAGAAGTTAAGTAATCAAGATTAGTAATATGCTAATCAAGTGGTGAATTGGAATTCTCGAAGTTAAATATGTTAAGATGTTTGCCGAAAATAGCAGCACACCTGCATGTCACAATATCTTCAATGTTTTTAAATGTATAATCTTTGTCTAATGGCTTTTACTAATAACAGGTTGCAACCTCACAATTTGCCCCTTGTCTAAGAACTATAAAAATTTTAGAATTTAATGATTCATTTCTTTAAGTTATCGCTGATATTTATTCGCAAATATTTACATTGTAAAATGTAATCATTTGAGAATTTTACGAATAAAAGGTGAAAAACTTGCTATTTTTCTTTGTGATCAATTAAGCAGACGACAAGGGGGACAGTGATAAAGAACGATGTTAGCTGAAAGAGAGAATAAAGCAGAAAATGTATTCATCGCAAGAAAATAATCATTATTTATTCAATTTTCTTATTGCTGTTGTACGCTTTTGTGCCACCTTCAAGACATTTCACACATTTGTGCCGCAATTTTTATACGTTCAAGCTGTAGGCTTCTTCCTTATTGATTGAATATTTAGATTGCTGCTCAACTATTCCAGGTAATGTAAAACTTGAAGGTAATTGCAAAACATAGGACATTTTATTTTTTGTCTCGTTATCCCTATCTAACATAATCGAATTTTGCTATTTCTCATCGAAAGATCATTTTAGGGAGTATCGAGCGAGTTACGAAGCATTCTTTTTTGCTAAACTCGAAATAGGTTTTTAAAGGTGAAAGTAAGTGGCAAGGGAGTGTTACCTATTGTATAACGATATTTTCCAGCAATAATGTCTGAGCTTCGTCTACCGTGAGGCCAAGATACAATGCTTCGTACTCTGTATCATACTAAAAATGATGCTGAGTGTTTCTCCAGAGTCGCGTGTTACCCAGAGGTCAGTTTCTGTTAATTGTGTATTATTCAGTACTTCGTTGCCCCTTATTAACAGCTACCGTGTATGCAGACCTGCATAATGTCGTTTTTCAATAAATTGAATTTGCCTATTTGTATTCTCGCGGGAACTCCATTATCCCTCGCCTCCGGCTTCAAACGTAAGTATTGATTAGGACTAAAGTGAGCTATCTACAGCTGTTTTAATTCGTCTAAAAGAAATAGACGGTTAAAAGGTCACATCTCACATTATCGCCTACAATATTGTAATTCAAATGAAACTAAATATCTTTGGAATTACCTTTAGAGGAAGCAGCAAAGGAGCAGTAGATTTCTTCGAAGTGGTAAAAAATCAATTTAAGCATGAAAACTTTAATGGTTATGTGTATATGATAGACTTTTCCTACACGTAGGGCACCCTGGCAGCTTATACTCATAAGGTAAAAAAGTCTATACCGGCAATTGACTTTTGACAACAAACTATCGTAACCCCACTCTATGTCATATTCGATCATTTTACAGTACTCACCTTACCTTTTCTCTGCCTTTATGTCTGTCTGCCTCTTACATCCGTGAGTCACTCTCCTGTTCTCCCTCTCAAATTTTTCCAACTTTGATGTTCCACCCCTCTGTGAAGCCCGAAGTCAACTAAAGGGCTAATGATAACTATCAAAATGACTGCCATTTAATATTAATAAGTAAATACTTTTACTCGTTTTAGTTCCTTCCATTTTTAAAGTTTCAAGGTCATTCATTCGTTTGAATTTTCTTCAATTTTACAAAAATACTGGTAAATACTTAAAAGGAGGCACAGTAATGGAACATATTTTGCATCTATTGGTGTAATTTGAACTATTTTTTGTCCAGATTCCTCAATGCATTTTTCTAGGACGCTAGTTATGTTTGTACTTTATGTGTTTTTCCTTACAGTTAGTTTTAAATCAGATCACTTTTAGCATATATCCAATTTGGACCAGAGAGACCGCTTTTCTTGATAATTGGTCATTAGATTTTGGTTAAATATCATAAAAATGAGAACATGTCCGCTTAACTGAATTAACCGTAAAAAATAAAGTTATCAAGGAAGTCCTAAAGTCAAGAGCCAGTGCTGAAATACAATTTGGCCATTCAAATTCTATTTAAATGGGCTATTTGTTTTGTCTATTTCGACATAATTCAAATTTATTATTTGCCGTTACCTAGTAATTTCTGTCGATTGATTTTGATTAGCATATTTAATTTGCTAATAAAGAAATTAGGTTTTGCAATGATAATCGCTTAAATAACAAAAAAATATTTAATTTATTTTCTAAAAGCCTTATATATATAATGTGCCAGTTTCTATATATAATTTGTTATATTGAATGGGATATAACAATTTAACAACATTCATCATTTAAACAACTCGTTCAAATTTTCGATATCGCGTTGATTGTATTAAACAAGCCGTCTTCAGTCAATTTATGGAATAACAACAATCAAATTTAAAGATCCTCAGGCTTGATTCCAATAAATTAACAATACCTAGAATCACAAATTCATTGGATAATTCATCCCTTACTTACTTGTGGCAACTTAAATTAGGCATTTATTTAGTATAAAAATATTTAAAATTTATGAAGAAATATTTTAGGTTCTGAATCAATAAGGCGTAATTTCAAAAATTTAATTGGCTAAAGTTAGTCTCCATTTATAATTTATTCAAAAAACTCTTCGTATGGACTTTGATACCTTGATCAAATTAAAAAGGCGATCCATTTACATTGTAAGTTATTGTTTAATTATTTAAGTTAGACATTTTAATCAAAGCAAATTTTGAATGCTGATATATATATATATGTTTATTTTCAAAAAAATGCCGTTCTCCTAGGAGATATACAGTAATTAAATAAAAGAGTTTTCAATTCTCAAGAGATCGTTATCACCTTGAATATATTTTGTGGGACACGTCATCGCTTAACGCGTCATCGCATGCCTGCACGCCAGGATTGGGAAGTGTGATAGTACAACTCTGTGTGCAGCGACCGTACAAACAGTGGCCGATCAGTAGCCTCCGTTTTCTTTAACCTAAACCGCATTCCTGATCATGATTAAGCTCCCTACGTGTACACTTTATCCACAATATACTGACTGAATAAACGTGCTCCGTGCTATACGCCTGTTTCCTTTATAGCTGGACTATAGCATAGTTTGTTCTGGGAGTCTAGGTAGATGTAGGAGAATCTGTCACAGAAATTTCTGAGTCTGTCAGGCTTT